CATGAGGTTCCCATTTATTAATTGTTGATTTCAGTGTCTGTGCTACTAGAGTTATGTTCATGAAGTGATCTCCTGTACCAATTCATTCAAGGATACCTCCCACTTTATCTTTTAAAGGTTCAGTGTGGCTGGATTTATGTTGAGGTCTTTGATCCATTTGGACTTAAGTTTTGTGCATGGTGATAGATAAAAATATATCTGCAATCTTTTACATATCAGCATCCACTTATACCAGCACCACTTGTTGAAGATGCTTTCTTTTTTCCATTGTATAATTTTAGCTTCTTTGTCAAAAATCAGGTGTTTGTATGTGTGTGGGTTAATATCTGGATCTTCAATTCAATTCCATTTGTCTACCTGTCTATTTTTGTGCCAATACCAAGGTATTTTCAGGACTATAGGTCTAGAATAGAGCTTAAAGTCAGGAATAGTGATGTCTCCAGAAGTTCCTTTATTATATAGGGTTGTTTTGGCTATCCTGGGTTTTTTTGGTTTTCCTTATAATGTTGAGTATTGTTCTTTCAAGGTCTGTGAAGAATTGGGCTGGTATTTTGATGAGGATTGCATTGAATCTGTAGATTGCTTTTGGCAAGATTGCTATTTTTACTATGTTGTTCCTACCTATCCAAGAACATGGGAAATCCTTCTATTTTCTGAAATCTTCTTTAATTTCTTTCTTTAAAGACTCAAAGTTCTTGTTGTACAGGTCTTTCATTTGTTTGGTTACCCCAAGATATTTTATGTTGTTTGTAAAGGGTGATGTTTCTCTGATTTCTTTCTCAGCCCATTTATCACCTGTATATGGTAGGGCTACTGATATTTTTGAGTTAATCTTGTATCCTGCCACTTTGCTGAAGGTGTTTATCAGCTGTAGGAGTTCCCTGGGAATAGTTCTTAAGAAACGGAAATATGTTTGCTGACACAAGCTTTATGTACAGGGAAGACTTAGGGTAGTAAGAAGGGACAGAGGTTAAACTTTAGGTTTGTGGTCAGTTTACCTCAGCATTTGACATATAGTAAACATTCTTGGCAATTTCCTACATGTATACATATAGTACATTCTCAACACATTAACCAACCCCCCCAATCCTCTTCCTCCCCTACCAAGCCCAGCACCTCCTGTATATAAATGCCACTCTTGCTTTCATGTCTTGTTTCATTTGTTAAACACTATTTTATTAATTCTTTGAGAATTGCATACAATTTTGAACATATTCACCCTCCTTTTTTTAGTTTCACTTTTATGGCCCATTGAGTTTAACCATGAACCAGTTTAACCTGTCCCAGTATGGGCATGGGTGTGGAGCGAACCACCAGAACATAGAGGATTAACACTACTGAAGAAATGCCTCCCCTGCCTCAGCATCTATCAAAAGCCTGTAGTTCTCTAAGGATGCACAGGCGCCATGAACCCTCCCCCATCTCTGACATGGTATTGACAGGTCCAGTGCAAGGGCCATGTCATGCCCAGATGACAGTGTTTATTGCCCTCCCCCTATTACCTGGCTTTTGAATTCTTTCTGCCCTGTCTCCTTCATGTTCCTTGAGCCTTGGAAGGGCTAATATTGATCGCCCATTTAGAGTTGAGTAATCAACAGTAATTTAGTATCTGTTGTAATATTTCCTCTTTTCATCTCAAATTTTATCATTATGGGTCCTCTTGCTTTTGGCTAATTTGGCTAAGGAATATTAATTATGTTTTTATTTTCAAAGAATTAATTCTTCTTTAATTGATTCTTTATATTGTGTTTTTTATTCTATTGTTTCTATTTCATTAACATTTGTCTTTGTGTTAATTATTTCTCCCTTTCTACAGCTTTTATGTTTGTTCTGGGTTCTGGTTTTCCCAAAGGACTTAAGGTATACTATTATTTATTTGAATTATCTGATTTTTTTGGTTTTTAGTTTGGACACTTACAGTTATAAAGTTTCCTCTGGTTTTATTATATACCAAATATTTTGATATGTTATGTTCTCATTTTCATTCAAATCTAGGAATTTTACATTTTATTCCTGATTTCTTTAAAGGCCCTTTCATCATTCAGCAGTACATTGTATAAACTCAGTGAGTTTCTGTAGTTTCTCTTGGTTTTTATTTGTACCATTCCATTGTGGTAAAATAAAATAATGGAACTATTGAAACTTGCTCTGTGTCCTAATATATGAACTGTTTTACACAAAGTTCAGTGGCCTGCTGAGAAGTATATTCTTTTGTTTGGGCACAATGTTCTGTAGGTATCTGTTAGGTCCAGTTGATTTGTGGTGTCATTAAACTCCATTGTTTTTCTAATTTTTATCCAGATGACCTGTCTTTGAAAGTAGAATATTGAAGTTACCCACTGATGCTGTTTTGACATTCATGTGTGACCTGATAGATCTAGTTATATTTGTTCTATGAAATTAGTTTTTCCTGTGTTTGGTACATATATTTTTAGAGTTGAAATGTCTTCTTAAGGATTTTCCCTTAATATGAAGTGACTCTCTTTATCACTTCTGGCTTGTTTTTGTTCCAGGTCTATTTTTTCCAGGTAGAATTAGCTATGCCTACTTGTTTCCAAGTTCCACTTGCTGGAGTACTTTTCCCATCTTTGTTCTCTAAGCTGCTGTTATCTTTGATAATGAGAAATACTTATTGAAGGGAGCCTGGTATGGTTTCTGGGTACCCTTTTTCCTTAAGCTGTGTATCAAGTGCTCTCCTCACCTATGTATCACTAAGCCTTCCATAAGCCTTTCATTGGTGAAATTTAAAATATCATAAATTATGTGCACTGAGTACAATTTTTTTTTTTTTTGGTTTTTCGAGACAGGGTTTCCCTGTGGCTTTGGAGGCTGTGCTGGAACTAGCTCTTGTGGACCAGGCTGGTCTCGAACTCTCAGAGATCCGACTGTCTCTGTCTCCCGAGTAATGGAATAAAAGGCCTGTGCCACCACCGCCCAGCCAATTTTTTGTAATCCAGGTTTACAAATATGAAAAGATTGGAGCTTTCTGGGAGATATAACAGTGGTGTTCTCTAACCTCCTAATTTATCATAAAGGGTTGATTTGTTGGTGCTGATCTATGGTGAGACTTTCCATATTTTGAAAATCTTTGTAAATACCTTTCCACCTGTATGTACTGGTACTGCCAAATGCCAGTATGCATCCGTGAGACATGGCTTTCATTGAGTGCATTTACAGGTTGGGAGGCATTTTTAGAATTCTATTAACTGAAAGGCTAGAATGTCTTTAGCATGTCATTACATTGCAAATCATTTCCAGTAGAAGCTCCTCAATTGCACACCAAATGGATTTTGGAATATGGAAATTTTCTCTACACATGCATATAGGCCTGACAAACATTGCTCTGGTTTGAAATTAGAATATATTTGTGGGAATTTGTGTAGGAATGAAGCTATCACTTTGAAAAACACATCTTTTGACAGTGCAGGCCTGACATGACTTGCAGTTCAAACAATTTTAGTTCTCATCAGAATGATTTTATCACAGTATGCTTCACAGGAGCAATTCTCCCTTGTAATTTTAGTTTAAAACATTTTCAAGTCTGCAGCTAAAGCTAATTCCACAGCCCTTCAAAATTGATGAACAGTGGTTGAACACAGATTTTTCAACCATTTAAAAATGCAGAAGCCATTCTTAAGTTGAGGAATGTACCAGCACAGGTTAGTCTGGTACATTGAACATAGTTTCTGACCCCTGACCTCTAAAGTCTTCAGGAACTGTGTTCTAAGTGTATGTGCCAAAGCTGTGCAATCGATTATTAACTTTTAGACTCTTAGCCAATGTGTTAATTCCCTGATGTGATGATTCATTGCACATTGTGCATATATCAAAGCATGACATTTTATTTCCTGTAAATTCATATAATTCAAAAAATAAGAAATTAGTTTTCAATTTACATTTATTTGAATAATATGAAATATCTTTGTATAATTATAGGACATTTGTATTTATTCATTATAGACCGCCAGCTTATATTCTTTTTTTCCATTTTTATTGCAGTAGAATTTTTATTCCAATGACCATTCTGCACACTACAGAACTCTTTTCAGTGGCTGTGTTTACTGTGCTTACTCAGTGTAATTTCTGCTGCCTTCCTCGTTTACCCAGCACTTCTCCCACTGGACAGACCTGCCTTCCCCTCAGAGTGGTTCAAGTTTTGCACACATATGCACAGACATCATTCATATGCTGCTGCTTCTCCCAATACAAGTCTCAAAAAGCCTTCAACATTCAGATCAAGATCAACTCCTTCCCTTTAGCTCCAGTGTATACAAATAGCTGCCATTAAAATATATCATACTTTTTATAATTAACAACTGGCCTATAATGATCTGTCTCTTTACTAGATGGAAAAAATTGAGAATGGAATTATGATTCATTTATATTAGTTGTAACCTAACTGAATTTAAAAAAAAATGTAGTATTAATATTATAGTCAAGCTCTCTTGGAGCCAGTGCAATGATATGAACTAGTAGGAACAGATATTTGAAAGGCAGAATAAAAAAGGATCATTTGAGTTTAAGAGTTTGAAACCAGTCTGGACCACATAATGAGAGACAGAAACAGAGACAGATAGACACACACACACATACACACACACACACAGAGAGAGAGAGAGAGAGAGAGAGAGAGAGAGAGAGAGAGAGAGAGAGAGAGAGAGAAAGAGAGAGAAAGAGAGAGAAAGAGAAGAAAGGCTCCCATAGCCACTGAATCCTCAAATATACATACAAAGGCACAACTAAGGTTTTTATTTTTAATAAAACTTATTGTTGATTATTATAAATATACTCTTTTGCCTTATGGCTTAAAATAGTTAGTTACAACTCTGTTCTCTAAGAAAAATTAGCCTCTGCTAGTAAAGAACTCTGATAAATTTAAAAAAGAATATTCATTAGCCATATCTATTTTATCATCTGAACATTTATTCCTCTCAGACTCCACTTTGAAACTTAGTCTAGACTACTTTTTAATCAATCCTTTGTCTTCTTTGTTTCCAAAGGATATTCATTACCTTGCCCTGGATATGGGTGAACTGGCCCTGGCTGAAGTGGCAAGAAGAAGAGCATGTGACATTGATGTCGAATCTGTATCCTCTGGAATCGGTAGGGGCTAATGAACTTTGTTAACGTGCTTTGGTCGAGGGGCTGGAGAGGTGGCTCAGTGGTTAAGAGTACTGACTGCTCTTCCAGAGGACAGTTCACAACTGTCTGTAACTCTAGGTAATCTGACAGCCTCTCACAGGCATACATGCAGGCAAAACATCGACACACATGAAATAAAATAAAATATACTTAAAAGTGCTTTGGATCTAGGGGATTCTTAATGTCATTTCTATTGTGTTTATAGGACATAATTGATTTATTTGAATTACTCTTTGTAGAACACAGTGAATTTAAAAGCAAGAATTATTAAGCTTTGAGAAATAGTAGAATATTCTTAAACAAGATGCAGTTTTAAAAGAAATTGATAAGTAGCAATAGCCAAGGTCAAACTATGTAGCAGAATGTAAAACCATGTTCCTCTTTTTTATTTGCATTTTATTTATTATTATTATTATTATTATTATTATTATTATTATTATTATTGTTCATGTGTGTGTACATGCATGTGTACACCAAAACACATGTGTGGAGGATAGAAGACAGTCTGTGAGAGTCATTTCACTGCTTCCTCTGTGTGGACCCCAGGGCTTGAACTCAGATCGTCAGATTTGTCAGCTGGCACCTTTACCCACTGCACCACCATACTGTTTCACATTGCTTATTTCGTGAGATCTGGGGAGTGCTGTTATGAACCAACTTACATAACCATTTACTGGTACACAGATGTGTCATATATTAAAATAATTCTCTCCCTTATCAGGGTATTTCAGGGTTCATGTTTATACTTTTTTTCATAGCTGCTAATGTCACTGTGTAGTGTAGTATTCTAAAGATAGACCCAAAGCCAACACTGACTCTTAAAGTCCATTTAAACTTTATAATGTAACAAAATGAAAGATTTTATATATAGTTAACAAAATGAAAATACATCTGCACGTACTCTCTGTTTCTAAACCCAGCTTGTCTAATGCTGCTGAGTGTGCCAGTATTGACAATTGGACACCAAAATTCTTATTCCTCTTAGTTGTTCTATTCATAGACGATGGAAAAGACCCCCAGGACTATAGTAGACATGGTTTCACATGTCTGTAATTCCTAAACAGTTTTAGAAGATTCCCACTTTGGAAGTACTTGAAAATCTTCCCCAATGAGTCATATGAGGCTTTGGCTTTGTGGTATTTGCATCCAAATGCACCACATCTCAGCTTCTTTTAAACCCTACCACCATCAATTCTAGTCCTCAGGATGTAATACTTAAGGGGACAAAGCCACAGAACCAGGACAAACCAGTTAGAGATTCTGATTTTGTAGAGTTTAAGTAAGGGAGAAAGAGAGTCATTTTTGACATGATATAGCACAGCCGTGTGGTTAATGCCCATAAAACATAAAATTAACCTCAGTAAGAATTACATGGTAGCAGTAAGGTATAAAATATTTTATCTCTTCTATTTTTTTCTTGCTTCTCAGTACTGAGAAGCAAGTACTGTATGCTAAAATTTATATTGCTTATTAGTATGACAAGAGGAGCTAAAATAAATAAAATACAAAGGATGATATTCTATATTTTTTTATTTCTGGACTTTTTTTATTTTTACAAAATTATGATTTCACATGTCAATCCCTTCTCCCTCTCTTCCCGTCCCCCCAACCCCCCACTAGCTCCCTCCCCCCTCTGCTCCCTATAGAGGGTAGGGTCCTCCACGGGGGCTCCCCAAATTCCACAACATATCCTGGGCCAGGCCTAAGCCCTCCCCCATGTGTCCAGGCCCAGAGAGCATCCCTTCACGTGAGATGGACTCTCAAAGTCCCTTCTTACACCAGGGAAAAATACTGATCCACTACCAGAGGCCCCATAGGGTGCAGAGGCCTCCTCATTGACATCCACTTTCAGGGGTCTGGATCAGTCCCGTGATGGCCTCCCAGACATCAGTCTGGGGTCCACATGCTCCCCATGCTTGTTCAGGTCAGCTGTTTCTGTGGGATTCACCAGCCTAGTCCTGACCCCCTTGATCTTCATTTCTCCCTCTTTGCAACTGGGTTCCAGAGTTCAGTTCAGTGTTTATGTGTGGGTGTCTGCCTCTGCTTCCATCAACCACTGGATGAGGGCTCTAGGATGGCATATAAGGCAGTCATCAGTCTCATTATAGGGGAAGGGCATTTAGGGTAGCCTCTCCACCATTGCCTAGATTGTCAGTTGGTGTAGAACACAGGATGGTGACAGAGCTGAATTTGGACTTTGACACTTAACTGGTTGCTACCATGACAATGGGTAAGGAATTGACCTTCTCTGTGCCTAGTTTTCTTGTATACAACACATTCTTAATAAGTACTAGATTATAGTTATAATAGCTATAGTTATATTTATATAGTTATACGTATTTATATGTATACATTCACCTATATAGTTATAAATTATAGATCAGCATGGGATTGAGTTTGTTAATTCATGCTTTGAACAGTGACTGGCAAAGAATAAGTTTAGTTATAGTTAGCTATTAATAATGCCTTTGAAATTAAAACGTGGTGTGTATTTGTAGTAAGAAAAATTCTTGAATTACAAGCTACAACACCAGTAAGATACAGGTGTTACTAATTTGTTTTTATTATACACCAATTCTACCTTGTTATGGCTTCACATTATTTATTAAATATGGAATATGTTGTTTGTGTTGCACGAGAAGTGTGGGCATCCTGTAAAGAAGACTGTGACTGTGTTGTTTGCAGTATAAGGTTGAGCAGGCAGGTTGACTTCAGTCTGCAGCACAGTACAAACCATATGGTGAATCTGCTCTTTACCTGTACCTTATAGTCTCTTGTTTGGTTCTAGGAATATTCCCCTTAGGTATTAGATGAGGTATTCTCTCTGGAATATTCCTAGGATGCCATTGAACAAAAGAACACAAATCACAGTGACTTAAAAGAGAAAGTGCCTTGCTCTGTCTTCACAAGCCTGAGCTGCATTCCAGGACTGGCCGGCCCTAAGGCTCCTGGCTCCACCACCATTAGGCTGCATCCTCATCTTGCTTTTTTATTTGCTAACATGTTATCAGTACAGTGCCACATCACTGAAAAATTACTCAAATCTTGGGTTTTGGCAGGTTCTCTTCTTCCTAAGATGCTTGTTTGGTTTTTCTAGAGTTTTGATAAAGGTGTATAGAAATAATATCCAGTAAATGCAACCAGGATAAAAGCAAAAGTTGATTCATAAACTACCTTATTCTTAAAACATCAAGAAATTGGGCTGGTTGTTGGTGGCGCACGCCTTTAATCCCAGCACTCAGGAGGCAGAGGCAGGCAGATCTCTGTGAGTTCGAGACCAGCCTGGTCTACAAGAACTAGTTCCAGGACAGCCTCCAAAGCCACAGAGAAATCCTGTCTCGAAAAACCAGAAAAAAAAAATCAAGAAATTAAATAAATAAATGAGCTAATCAACTTCAACCTTACTCTAGCCATCAGGGAAACACTAATCAAAATTGATATTCCATCTTATTCCAATAAGAATGACAGTTACTATGGGAAAAAAGAAGAAATAACAAATGCTTGCAAGGATACAGACAATAGGGAAAACTTACACACTGATGAGAGGAATGTAAATTAGGCCAGCCATTATGGAACTCTCTCAATAAAACTGAAAATAGAGCTACTATATGACTCAGATACATCACTCCTGGGTATTTCCCCAAAGGACTCTGAGGCAGCATGTCACAGAGATGTTTGCATATCAGTTCACTGCAGCACCAGTCACAGTGGTTAAGCTACAGAACCAACCTAGTGTCCAACACAAGATCAATGAATAAAGAAATGTGGTGTATATGCAATGGCATTGTCAGCCCCGAAGAATGAGGTAATACCATTTGCAGGAAATTGGATGCAACTGTAGATTTTCAAATTAAGCCAATTAAGCCAGTCTCATGAACACAAATATTGTATGTGTTCTCTCATTTGTGGTTCCTAGATTTTATATAAATACATAAAAATCATGCATGTACATTTGGCAAGAAAGTGGAAGTGAAATTGTCTAGGGAGCAAAGGAGACAGCAGGAGAAGGGAAGGATGAACAAAGGAAGGTTATAGAGGTGGGGTGCCCTCATGCACAATATAGATGTGTATGAAAAATTTTAAATATTTACAAACAGTGTCTTGTTCTAAAAATACATTCTAAAAGGAACTTTTAATTGCATAAGTAATTTCAGTTGTGGCTAACTGTGTAACTTTACACTAGCTTGACAGGCTATATGAGATCGCCAGTTTCACCTAGGACATATATTCATGCCAGCCTGCTTTTGACTCTACTTCACCTTTCTCTTCTGTCTTAGTTAGGGTTTCTATTGCTGTGAAGAGACACTGACCGAAGCAGCTCTTATAAAGAAAACATTTAATTGGGGCTGACTTACAGTTTCTGAGGTTTAGTCCATTATCTTCATGGCAGCATGCAGGCAGACATGGTCCTGGAGAAGGAGCTGAGAGTCCTATATCTTGATCCACAGGCAACAGGAAGTGAACTGTGTTCCACATCTTCCTTTATTATGGCATGTCAAGTTTGTTCTGGAAATTTTTGTATAAAGACATAATTCTAAACCTTATATTTGTCTTGGCTTCAGAGCTCTTCACAAAGCTGTATCACCACTGAGGAATGGATAGTTGTCAGTAAAACTCCTAAAATACAATGATTTTCATCTGATCTCCATATGTGCATCAGGGCATGCACACATACACCAACACATAAATACACAGCACACATACCCTCCCCTCTCTCTCTCTCTCTCTCTCTCTCTCTCTCTCTCTCTCTGTCTCTCTCTCTCTCTCTCCCTCTCTCTCTCTCTCTTTCTCCCCCCCACCCGTGTGTGGTAAGTCAACCACAGGATGTGATATTTCAAATAAAACCAATTTCTAGTCATTGCTTTTTCTCTAGATTAAATATTCATTTCTAAGAGAAATAGCTATTTAAATATTTCAAGAGAAATTGTTATTATTTAAGTACTATTTTATCTTTTTTTTTC